ATATATATTGTGGTGCACGCGTATGTGGAAGCGTGCACGCATGTGAGATTTTGCATGAGTGATTTTCAATAGATCTGTAAGTATGCATGTACAATAATCTACTACCATACATTTCATTAAAATATATAAATAAATAAAATATCATTAAAATATTTTTGTAGAATATAGCAACATATATTTCATATAAGATAATCCTCTATAGTAAATTTGAGGTGTAATGTGTATGTGCATGTTTATATATATGATTTTGCACATATCTATGCATTCTTGTTATTAAGACAAATAAATACAACTTATGAAGTGTCAATTATATCTATGCACCTCACTATCATGTTAGCATAAAATATTAAGTAATCTAATCTTGTACATTTTATTGTTTAATAATAGCGCGTGCATTGTATGTTGCAAGCTTCTGATTCTATGCGTATATGTTGTGCATTTATCAATCACATTGTGTGAAATTTTGAACATCTAACTTTTAACCAAAAATATTGTTATGAATTGAACACCAAATTATGATGTGAATACCAAAGTTTAATCCCTGCATGATTTCTACCCCGAGACCAAACTTATGTGCTGGGAAATAATTGTAGAGGGAATTTAGCACTCACTTTCTTCTAAGTGACCAACTTAAGACTTTTAGCAGAAGAAGGCTTGTTCTATTGGATGAGATCTTCCATTTATTTTGGTCATTTGCTTAGATCTTATACTTCTAATTTAAAGATTAGTGGAAATACTCCTCAATGAAGTGGTTGGTCGTAGTTTGCAACAAGAAAGAAAAGTATTTATGTGGAGAGAGAAGGGAGATTAAATAAGGTGGTGGTTGAAGAAGAGATGAACAACTTGGAGTGGGAATGAGAGGAGACAAGTTTGCATGAGCCGAGGCTTCATTTATAACAAAAAAATATTATCCTCTTACAATCTAATAACCCCTTTATTAAAAAAAAAGAGGCCTAATCACTTAATGACAATCCTTTAAGGTAAGTTATGTAGTAACTTACTGATCCGTTATCATGATGGAAACATAATCAAAACATGATATAATAATACCTCCATTAAAAAAAAAGGAGGCTGAATCATTTAATGCCAACTGTTTTAAGGAAAGTTATACAGTGACTTATCGATTCATTATCATGATGGAAACAAAAGCAAAACATGATGTAATATTATTGGTTGATGATAGTTTTGCATCACATACATCCTCTACCATACCACAAGAGATGTTTAAGATTCTCCCTAATGCTTAAGTAGATACTTTACGAGTCTTTAGACATTTAGTTCTATCCCGTTCATAATTGGTGTGGCTGATGCTTTCATGTGAATGTCAGTTTTGATACATTCTCTTTAGCTATTTGAAGTTGTACATTGTTCACTTTTGTGACATGAGACACATAAATCCTCTTAGATTCCTATGTTGATACGTCCTTTTAAGCTTGCAAGTTCCAATACATCCTTTGCATTATCATGATTTTTGTGATTCCACCTCTTGCGCAAAGCCTACTTAAAAAGCCCCATGCATCGAAACCTTCCCTATAAGCTTATAAATGTCCAAGTCCTTTTCATGATGCTATAAATGAATTAAAATATCTTATTTGAGCGTCAGAATTGATATATTCTCTTAAACAAGTAGCATTAACCATGTAATGTTAATAATTTGATTCCCCTTTAGGATGCCAAAATGTTTGTGTTATTTTAAGCTAGCGGAGTTTACACATCCTTTAGTTCATCTTGAAAGACATTCAAGAGCCTACCTTATATTTGTGTACTTGCTCTTAGAGCCTATACTGTGTTAAATGTTTTCTCTCTTTTAAGTCATTCTTGTATTTTATGACTAGAGTTGATTTCATACCAATCAAGTTGATAAACACAGCTCAATAGTATAAGTTCTACTTTCTATCTTCGGGGAAGCTAAAGAATCTTTAAGGGTCAACTTATGTTATTTTTAGATATCTAATTCTTTAGTCGTCTCTAATTGGTATCCTAATTTACCAAGAGGGAATGTTATTGTCTATTTTAGGTAAGCATTACATTGTTTCGTTTAAAATCTTGAGTAATAAGAAATCTAATTATATATACTTATCTTAAACAAATGAAAACCGACACATGCAAATAACCTTGGACAAACCCTATTCATTTATGATAAGGATTTCTAACATTTTTTGAGTAGCGATTTTCTTCTTTATAACATTCTTATTATAGAAATTCACCAATCTCTGCATTCGACTCTAACCATACCACAAAAGTGCAACTATAGCCATAGTCATTATTTTGCCTTTGCTCAATGAAGGACTCATTCACGATAGGCACCAATTTATGAATGATTTGATTGCATCATATTTTATAGTGCTCTCTATGTTCATATTGCTTGTACTCATTTTCTTTGTTAGGTGCATTACTTCTTACTCCCTTTGAAGCTTGTCTTGGCAATTAAGTTTACCTTTATATTTTTCCCTTTCTTCAGTACCTTTTTTGCAATATTTGCGGTTGTTTGAAGGGGTTGGGTAGGTATCTTCACTGCTATAGCCATTGTTGAATGTGTGGGGCAGGAGATTGGGCTCATGGCATGGTAATCTCAATCTTAGTCTGTCTATTTTAGGGTTGGCTTTGTGTTTGAATCTATACCAACCAAGTCTCTTTCCACCTCTGCGAAACTTTTGTTAGCTCCTTGAAGAGTTAAAATTTTTGAAGCCTGCAAAGATATGGACACATAAGTTTTGGTTTTCAAACATCAAATATAAATGACAGAATTAGTTGCAATTTACTTGGCGAAGTTAAGGTATCAACAATCATGTGATTCTTTGGGCTTTCCTCATGTTTTTACTTGTACTTTCCTCATGTTTTTACTCGTTGCCACCTTGTTTGCTGGTGGCGTCTTCTTGATGGAGCAGGGTTGAATCTTTATATTGGAGGGTTGAATCTAGTTGTTTAGCTACGATTTGCTAGGGGTTTCTTTGGGGTACTTCTGCGTTTGTTTCCCAAAAAATTCAATTTTGTTTCCCTTAAAAAAATTAATTTTTTCACTGCTGCATCATCACATGGGTTATGCATGCAAATCGCATGAAATTAGTTTTTGATAAAAGTACATTTCACTCGAACTGTGGGTTATTTATCGGGTAGGTTTTTAATTGTGAACTGGATTTCATACTAGAAGGTTTTGATTTGGGTTGGTTTTTAATGCACATTAAGTCTATGTAGACAATTTTTTCTGATGAGAATTCTACGAAACATGACATTATATTTCATCGAGGGGTCTTGTTGGCGTTTATGGGATTTGAATTTATTAAAATCATATATGCCAATCCAAGATTTCTTCCAGTTCTAGTGAACTCATTATTTTACCTATTGCTATTGATTTGACATTTATTAGAATGGAAGCAATGTTTATGCTAGTACAAATAAGTTACATGGTTGATGGGTGCTTTATTAAACTTGTTGCATTTTTTGAGTGCTACAACATAAATTTTTTTTTTAATTTTTTTTTGAGATGAACCTTCTTTGTAGAAGTTCTTGAAGTTTTGAATGCCATGAAAGCACATAGGGGTATTCATATTATCTGCATGAATGTTTGAAATAAGTTACACAGTAGAATTAAAATGTGCAAGTATATATAATTGATGGAGCCTAGATGACTTTGAGGGTCTTTTCTGGATAAATTGATGCTTGAAATTCTACAAAAGAGGAGGGGATAGAACTCTTTCTTCCTTTTTCAGTTGTACTGTCAATGCAATGTTGATGATTTCTTCTTTCATCGTAGTGTATGTAGCCAAATTGGATGGCATGTATGTAAATGCCCCAACAGTTTTTTTTAGTCTTTTCATCAGTTGGTTATGGCGAGGACTAATTTTTTATTCGAAGCTATGTATATTCTTCTTGATTGCCTTAATAAAAGTGTTTGATTCCTTTTCCGTGGATGCAGATCACTTTGACTGAACCACGTAAATTTCTTGGTGTTCTTATTTAAATTTTAATTTTGTTATTTAAATTGTTTGTTTTAGTCAATCTGATGCAATAATCATAATTGTTTTGTTGTTATATCTTCTTTATTGTGCGAGTTTTAATGATAATAATGAATACCCTATACCCTATTTACTAAATAAAGATTAGAAGCATATAGAGGAAGTTATCTCTATATAGTAAAGTATGTGGTTGTGACATTTACATACACACGACACAATTCTGATATATTTTTAAGTCTAACACTTAAATCTTTCATTTGATTCAATTTTAAGTTTATCTTGTTACGAAATTATTAAAAAATATTTCTCATATTAGTTGATTTACATGACGCCCTCGCCAATTTTCTAAATGATGTTATTGTTGTCTTTCTTTGCTTTGTTTTATCGTAGTAATAAAATGACTAATAAGACTAAAGAGCTTCGTACACCGGTACTCTGGGAAAAAGAAACAAAAATAATATTTTGCGACCTTTGCCTGAAGGAAATTGAAATGGGCAATAGACCTACGACTTTTTTCAATAAGGAAGGGTGGCAAAATATTATAAAAAATTTCAAGAAATGTACGGGCAGAGAGTATGACAGACTGCAAATGAAAAACAAGTGGGATCAACTCAAGAAGAATTGGAAAATTTGGAAGGATTTGAAACGAGGATCAACGAGTTTGGGTTGGGATCCGGTGAAGCGAACCATTGATGCTCCAGAGGAGTGGTGGACAGAAAGACTTGCGGTGAGGAATTTTTCATTCTGTCTAATTTGATTCATGTCAGTTTTCTTCAACCTAATTGAAGCGTTTAATGTTTTTTTGCAGGTGGTGCCCGCAGCGAAGAAGTTCAAATTTTGTGGACTTGAACCCGAGTTTGAGGAGAAGTTAGACCGAATGTTTGGGGGTGTCGTCACAACATGCAAATATGTATGCACACCAAACGAGGCAGGGTTTGGTGGTACCCCTGACAATGTGGTTTTCAGTTTATCAACTGATTCACCCGAATTCCACAGCCAGGAACTCCCCGAAATCCAGTCCACCAACCGGTCTAAGCGTCCTCATGTGGAGAGTAGGAAAAAGGGTGGAGCTGCTTCGATCAGAAATCAAATATCATACATGATAGATTCTTCCAACGACACCTCCCATAAAGTTCAAAAAACTTCAATTAACCAGGTCGTGAAAATTTTGGAAGAAGATCAGGATATTGCAGAGGATTTTGATCTATACTTTTTTGCTGTAGAACTGCTTCAAGATTCGGTCTACAGAGATTTTTTCACAGCGATTGCTAAAGAACGACGGGTGGCGTATCTACGTCATTTTTATGCTCGTAGGGCAAATTAAGGGATAATTTTTTTAATTTGCTATTTGCTGAGAGACGTTTTTATTTCATTAGTTGTTGATTGGACATTTTTCTCCGTTATTGTATTTTCTCATGTCATGCTTGTTTTACATTCGAATGCCCTCATCCTAAACTGGTTATTGCATAGTTTGTTAAGCATTTTGTATGGACATATTCTTCCTATGAAAGAAGTTTAAACCCTTATTTCATGGTAGTTGTTGTAGCAATTTAAATTTCTCCGGGTTCTCAGCATTAATGCAAATTGGAGCTCATTTTACTTCATTGTGATTGCCTCATTTATACAGTTTTTAAGGGAGAGTAGTTTGAAGGATGTGTGCATATTTTGAGATATATTTTATGGATCATTTGGTTGCTAGCAAATAAAAACATGTTTAAGAGAATGCTAATTTCATTCTCACTTATTTCGATTCTAAAAATATAATTATCTTCTTTGAGTTGTAAGTGTTCGTAGACTTTCAAAGTAATAACAGATTTCCAACAACATTCAAACTAATAATGAATTCCAATAAATTAATCATTATTTTTAACATATTTTTAAACTTCAAAATAAATTCATCATAATTTTGAATTTCTGCTAATTTTGAATTTCTGCTTCAGAATTATTAAATAAATGGGTGTTACAGTTTTGTTACAAAGAAATTTATTGAACAAAGACATAACGGTCAATTTTTCAGAAACAACTGCCCTACAATTGTTTTCACACAACTGCAACAAACAGACAGCCCGTTGTTGTGCTGCAGCAGCTTCTTGGGGCAGCGCAAATGCAGGTGAAAAGCTGAGAAGCTGCAGCTACGTCAAACAAAGCATTAGAGTTAAAGTACCTTGGTTATAGATTTGAAGGCAATCTCCTTATTTTTATTTTGCCAGGGTCCATAAATGTTTTTGGGTGATAAAGCTCTTTACTTGCAGCTTCTAGCATATTAGATTGAGAGGAATGGGTCTACTTTTTTGCTTCTTTTTGAATTGGGGACTTGGTCTCATCCGAAAGGATGGCTTGAGATTACTTGTTCAATTGTTTGGCTTGATCCCACTTTAGAGATTTAAATTCATGATTAGTTAGAAGTATCGTTATTTACTTTAGGCTCTTGGGTGCAGTTTGTTGTCTTTCATACTATAATTCACGTGTTGACAATCGCCTTTACCTTATTTTGTCATTGACGTTTTTTCTTAAAGGAGAAAACATATGATCATGACTTACAGAGATGAAAACATTATTGGTGCTAGGATGATTTATCAACACCTCTCTAGATTACAATTATTTCGAGTGAAGATCATGATTGGTGTATTTATGGATTATGGAAAATATTAAGGCACCCTTGTTAGGCATTTCAGCTGTAAATATAACAATAAAAGTATCGGAGATTGGTGTGCTAGCTCATTAAAGATGATACAATAAACCCCAAGCTCGATTTTGTTCTTGTGGTTGCTAAGCCTAAATTGTAATGATTTAAGGTTTGTCCTTTTAGACAGAGGTGCTAGTAGGCGTGGCATGGTTGACAACACCAAATTTGATGGCTTATTCCGCCATTGTTGGTAGTTCTCCAGGGGCACTAACTATTGATGGAGATCTCTTTCAAACCTTTAAGAAGTAGAAAACACTAATGCTACTTGTTTGGAATAATTTTCCTCATTTAATAAGCTAGAATCACAAAGTTTACCTTTCACGAACTTGCCCTTATATCTCTTCGCATAAATTGTTTGAGTTATAGTTGCATTTGGCACTATGCTGCAATAGAAGTTTATTTAGAATAAAAGTTATTCAAGTCCTCCCATGAGACCTTATTATCTAGTTATCCTTTGAAGTTGGTATGTATTTGGGAAAAACACATGCAACAACTAAGAAGTTTATAGGCCACAAACTCCTATTCTTTAAATAATTATTCTCTACTTTCAATGACAATTGAAAATATGAAAGAAATTTGTTTATGCGATAAACTAATGAATTTTACTAGGAATCAACCTAGTCTAGAGATTTTAAAGTTATTAAAGATATGGAAAAACTTTGACATTCGTGTACTTTTCTGAAATTATATTGCATTTAATTTGATTAAAATCAATAACATATTCAAACCAATAGCAGAATGTGTTTAAAAAAAAGAATTCACTAAAAGCAAGCCTTAATACTTGTACAAGAAGATAACCCTTCTAGAAATCTTAAAGCTTCTAACTTAATCAAGGAATTGACTCTCAAAAGTAGAAAGAATAATATATCTAGCTTGAAATTTACTTAAGAATCAATTAATGTCTTTTGTACAATGCTAAACCCCTTCTTGGCTTTCCGAATCAACCTGTCACATTAATAACCATAAAGTATTAGTCATTAACCTTTTTGAAGCCCCTTAACGAAGGTAGAAAATTTGCTAGAGTTTAATAGTAGGGGAAGCTATCTCACTTGATCATGATAATGAAGGACTGAAGTTGTTAACAACACTATACATATTTGCGAGGAGGTTGGTCATAAAAGCCACATAATAGCGCCCATAGATGAAGGAGGTTGTAGCCCACAATGTAGAGGAGGCTTTTAGTTATTGACGCCATTTACTAGCAGTTTGTCACTCCCCGCCAATATTACGACACGATGGAGTATTCTAGAAGATGGAGACCTAATGAACAACCTAGAAGAATCTAGAGTATGGATGTACATAAAGATAATGTAGAACTATCTAGAAGCTAGAATATTATATTGTAAAGCTCCCCTTGGAGAATAGTCCCACATTGGCAATATGTAAAGCCAAAGCCATGGAGGGAGATATAAATAAGTGTCCCCTCCCTCATTCTAAGGCATCCAAGGTTTCAAGCTTTCAAGCTTTGTAATCTCTCTTTATTAGTGAAGCTTTATCTTCTCTAACTCTTCTTCCTATTCTACTTTCAAGAGAGTGCTTTTGAGTTGTTAGTTGGGAAGGTTAGGCTGATTTAGTGCTAAGAAAGAGCGCTAAAGCCGCACGGATAACTTGAGGAAAGTTAGTCCGTGACAGTTGGTATCAGAGACTTGGTTCGAGGGAATGGCGAAAAGTGTCAAGGAGCACGTGATGGAGTCGGAAGCCACTAATGTGGAGTCATCTCAAGGGCGAGGTCGCCAGGAGCAAAGGGACCCCGTTG